CGCGGGGCGGGGCGGCGCAGAAAAACAAGCGAAAGCGAAGCCGAAACGAAAGCGCAAACGCAGGACACGGAAAGACGCGGAAATGGCGTTCCTGGTGGGCCGCGAGGCGCCGGACTTCACCTGCGAGGCGGTGATGCCCGACGGCTCCTTCGACACGGTGAGCCTGCGCGCGTTCCGCGGGAAGAAGTACGTGCTGCTGCTCTTCTACCCCTTCGACTTCACCTTCGTGTGCCCCTCGGAGCTCCTGGCCTTCAGCCGCGCCGCCGCGGACTTCGAGGCCCGCGACGTCCAGCTCCTCGCCTGCTCCGTCGACTCCAAGTTCGCCCACAGCGCCTGGCGCGCGCAGGAGCCCCAGCGCGGCGGCCTCGGGCCCCTCGCGCTGCCGCTCCTCGCCGACGTCCGCCGCGAGGTCGCCGCCGCCTTCGGCGTGCTGCTCCCCGACGGCATGGCGCTCCGCGGTTTGTTTCTGGTCGACCGCGAGGGGCGCGTGCAGCACGCGCTGGTCAACGGGCTGGCCATTGGCCGCAGCGTCCCCGAGGCGCTGCGCGTCGTCGACGCGCTGCAGCACCACGAGCGCCACGGCGAGGTCTGCCCCGCGAACTGGCAGAAGGGGCAGAGGGCCATGAGCCCCTCCCCCGCCGGCGTCGCCGAGTACCTCGCCAGCCTCTACTGACTGCTCCTGCGCTGCTGCGCTGCTGCGCTGCTGCCGCTGCTGCTGCGCCGCAGCAGCTGCTGCGGCGCTGCTGCCGCGGCGGTGCGGCGGACCAGCGCCTTTTCCGGCTCCAACGCCACACGCGCGCCCGCGCCCACCCTCCTTCTTAAGCGCTTGCCGCCGCCGCCACAGCTGGCTACGCCTGCGGGGCGGCCAGCTAGCTGCCTGCCTCGCCGGCTCGCTAGCTCGCTAGGGGAGTAGGTACTAGGCTAGGGCTAGGCGCCGCGCTGGCTAGCTAGCTAGGCAGCTGCTCTAGGGAGTCCGGTCGCTAGTGAGGCCTGCCGGCCACGAGACGTAGTCCACTCTAGAACAGTGCAAGTTGAACAGCAGCAGCAGCAGCAGCAGCAGCAGCAGCAGCAGCAGCAGCAGCTGCGGCGGCGG